GAAGGAGAAGTGGGGTGCAGAGATGGAGGATTAGATTGGGAAGAGATGGTTTGAGCTTACAAGGCAGGTCTCTGTTCTGGGCTGGTCAATGCTGGAGGGAATGACAGTTATGGGGCAGCCCTCTGTGCTGGCTTCTCTAGGTACATGCTCTGCCCTTGCAGCAAACCAACAAGATGGATAAAATCAGCATCTCCATTTTACAGATGAGGATCAGAGAGGGTAAGTAGCCTTCTCAGTCCCACAGCGAATAAGCAGAAGTTGGATCTGAACCCATGTCCAGGTGGGCTCCTTTTACTCCATAATGACATTTAAGATAAACGCAAAGGACACAGTTGGCCACGAGACTTAGAAAATGCATTTCTTGCTCTGTTATTTGTCTGGAACTCATGGTGAGAATTGGAATTGGGAACCTGTCTAAGGGTCAGCCTGGGGTTTGGGGATATAGTCCTGTCACTTAATCGGCTCATTCCTTCATGGGAGATGATGAGGGAATAAAGAGTGGGGAAGGGAGGGAAAGGTGGCCTGCCAGGATCTGGATTACATCTCTACACCTGCAGCACTGTGACCCCAAACACGTTATTTAACATTTTGTGCCTCAGTTTTCCTCATCGATAGAATGGGAATCATACTAGAACCAGCTCCAGAGGGTTGTAAAGATTAAATGAATGTAAATCTCTTTAAATAGTGCCTGGTACGTAAGTGTTCAATAAGTATCAGCCCTTATTATGATTACTTCTAGGAGGCTTTAGCTTATAAAGTTCTTTCACATCCTTAGTCGTTAGGAGAACTCACTGCCTCTGAAATCAGACTGAGTTCAGATTCTGCTCTGCCCTTTATCACCATGTGACTTTAGACTTAATCCCTCTCTGCCTCAGTTTTCTCATCTATTAAATGGGGAAAATCATACTGTCTACTTCAGAGGAAGTTGTAAAGATTGAGTGATTTCAGTATTAGTTATGGCAATGTTAGAAACCACCAAATTTCACATAATAGTCCAACACATGATCATGGATGATTTCTCTCCATACGATGTTTTAGGGACCAGAATCCTTCCATATTTAGCTCTGCCATCTCTTAGGAACTAGTCCTCCTCTAAATCAAGGTAGCAGAAAGGGAATTATGAGCATGAAGAAGGCACATCCACTTCTAAATGCTTGGCCTGGAAGCAACACGTCATTTCCATTCATATTCCATTGGCAGAGACAAGTCACAAGGCTCGCACCAACATGCAAGGAAGGCTGGGAAATTAGACCCCGGCTGGACAATCACTTCCCAGTGGCAACTCTACCATATGAAATAAGGAGCATGTCAGTTGTGGGGAGATCTACCATGTCTCCCACCTTGAGAGAAATAATATTAGGCTATTGTTTGGGTATTTTTAAGTGTGACAAGTGTGTTAAGTGCTATTGCTAATATTATTTTTATTTAATCCACACAATAGCCATGGGAAGTGAGCATTACTATTATCCACATTTTAGAGGTGAAGATGAAGTCTTCAAATGGTGTAGACGTTTTCCCAAAGTCGCACAGCTGGTGACTAGCTGAGATCCTATAATTCTAAATTCAGAACACTCTCTTGTTACCCTGTAAAGAAATGGAGGATGCCCTGAGTATAGAAGCCTGACCCTTGTGATGGTGGTTTTGGCGCCATAACCAGTCAAGAGGCTGGTTCTTGGTGAAGCTCACTAGGTGGGTCGAGGACAAGGTGTGGACTGGAGGTAGCCAGTCAAGTTTCTCCCCAGGGCACATAGATGGCATTTGATTAGGACTAAAGAGGGAAGGAGCAGGTGCTTGCTGTGTTTGGTGTTGTTTTTGTTTGTTGTCTAATAATAGAAAACACTGGTATGTGTACCAAGGTACTTATATAATCACTTAATCGGCCAACCCTATGAGGTAGATTCTGTTATTATCATATCCATTTTATAGATGGGGTAATTGAGGCACAAAGAAGGAAAGTAACTTGCTTGAAATCACACAGCTAGCAAGTGACAGAGGCAGCAATTGACTCCAGGAAGCTCAGATCAGAGCTCTTGCTCCTAGCCATCATGCTACATTGCCTTTTGTTTACAAAGAAAGAAGGAAATAGCAAACAGGATCCAGTGGAAGAGAATTCTCAGAAATAGAAAAAAATCCCAGTCAATGGGACATTGGGCCCCTTGCCTCTAGACATGAGACCCACCATCCCAAGACAGAGGAAAGTCAGGGAGAAATCCCAGTGACCAAACTGATGTAGGAACTGCCAGCAAAGTCAAAGGGCAGTCAGACCCCCAGCTCCTCCCCAGAGTACATCGATCTCCTCCAAGCTTGTAGGAACACAATTAGGAATAGGAAGGCTTGCAAGACAATGGAGCAACAAAACAGTCTGATTTGTTCTTTATCTGATGGGGCCCTAACTTAGGACGCTCGTATGATAAGCCGTCACTTTGTCCATTATAACTGAGCATCTTCTGCTATAATCAGTCAATCAGACAGCGTGCGCCTGAAATGGGTGCTTGGGGCAGAGGCTCTCCAGGAAGGCCCAGCAGGAGGGGATCTGGCGTGATGGTGAGGACTTGGGATTTGAGGTCACAGGCTGGGCCAGTCACTCAACTTCTCCAAGCCTCAATTTCCTCATCTGAAAATGGAGGTAGCCCATCCCTGGCAAGGCTGTGGCCAGGTCAGAGGAGATACCACACATAAAGCATTAGCATTAGGCAGTGCCTGGCACAGAGTCAGGTTCAATGAATGGTAATGCACACTTTTATTACCAGCAGGTCTATTTGATATGAATTATAAACTGGTTGAGGAACAAGCTGAAGTTAAGTGCATTTTAAAGGCACGTTGAAAGAAAGTTGAAGCCAGAAAAGCAAAGGGCTCTGAGAAAAGTGCATCACAGCAGCTCATTTTGATGTCTGTCTATGGTCACATGAGCTAATGTAGGAGAAAGTGCTCTGCAAGCCTCGGTGCCCTAGGTGGCATCATTGATCTGTGACTACGCATGTCTCAGGCAGTGTGGACATGGACGTCCCCAAGCCACATGCTGATCAGGCTTCTGATTCCATCTGCAAGTGAAGGCAAGTAGACCTTGGTCACAAGGAGCACATGTTCCTAGAGACGCAGTTTGTGTAATCCTGGCAGGGGCGGATGGGATTGGGGAGGGTGTGATTCTATAAACCCAGTGACCAAGGGCTGCTCAGGACTATGGAGAAAGCACTCAGAGCAGTGGGAAAGGGCGTGGGAGAGGAACCAGAAGACACAGGTCCTAGAATAAGCCTTGAGACATTGGCCAAGTCTCTCAACATCTTGGGCCTTGGTTTAGTTATCCTCCAAGTGAATGAAGCAATTCTGCCCTGTCTTCCCCCTGACGTTGGAGGGGATCAATAAAACAATGGATGTGAAAGCATTTTGTAAACTCTGTCATGTAAGCATATGGCAGGGGGCGAGGGAGTGAGCCGTATTTTCACCAGTGACGTGAGTGAGGATAGAGAAAAGGCTCAGAACCTCAGGGAATGCAGGAGGGGCTGGACCCCGGATTGGGAGAGGGAAGCGACGGTGGGATCAATACCTTGGAGGGCCAAGGACCAAGGTGTTCAGGGTCAATGAGGATGGGCCTGGATCATCAGGAAGCTAAGTGTGGTAGAGTGTGGCTTCTTCAGGGCTTGGGTGGGGTAGAGTCAGCTAATGGAATCCCAGAAAAGAGAGAAGATTATCTGAAGGTCACATAGCAAGTTATTTGCCAAGCTGGGACCGGAACTCTGGTTTTCTGGTTCCCAGTCCTGTATTCTAGCTTCTCAAACTGGCTCTGTGTGCAGGAGAGAACAACTGCTTGCGGGGCCCAGGCATCCTCCTACCAGTCAGCGAGGAACCTTTGGTGCAGAAAGATCTGTGCCCCTGGGAGAGAACCAGCAGGACCACGGGGAGGGCGAGCACCCAGCTTGTCGAGTGTGCGGCTACCCCCTCAGTCACCTTTCCCGGCGTTCTTTCCGGCTAACGGAACGTGTGTAAGGCAGATTTCCTGCCAATAGACTTTGAAAGAGGCGCAGAGAGAGCATAAGGGCTGTGGTCCCTAAGGGCACAGTATTCAGAAGGGCCTCCAGGTGGTGAAGAAAAGGGCCGTGCCAGGGGAATGACCCACTTCCCGGACTTCCCGAGGGATACAAGGCCGGGGTTCCTCCTTTCTCCCTCCTCTCTGAAGGCAAAAGGAGGCCTGGAAGCGTCGAGGTCCTGTGGCCCTGGGTCGGGCGAGACCCCGGGGCTTCCACCAGTCAAAGCTTTCCCAGGCTTAGCGGCAAAACCTGGCCCTGGCTTACCCTCCTCTGACCAGCAGAGGGCGCGCGCCACCCGCGAGAGGAAGGTGCCGCAGGAAGGCTTGGCTGGGAGCAGCCGGCGCGGAAGTGAGGGTTCCCTCCTTCGGGAAACGAGGGGGCAGATGCAGAGAAAAGATAGCGATGGAGATGCTGGGGAAGGGGAGGGCGGTCTGTGAGAACGTCTCAAAGAGAGAAGAAAGGAGAGGGGAGGGGAGGCGGGGAAGAGGATGAAATGGAGTGACTGAGGAAAGGTTGAGATGGTGTGAAAAAGAGACAAGGTGGGATGGAGGTTAGGATGAGGTGAGGGGCAGGTGGAAGGATGATGAGATGGGGGGAGGTGGGATGCCGGTGCTGGGAGATGGAAGTGGGGATGGGGTGGGGTGAGGGGCGGGTGGAAGGCAAGGTGAGGCAGGATGGTGTCGCCTGAGTCCACCCACCAGGGCTCCTTGCTCCCCTCCAGCAGCACCCAAGCCCGCTTTGCCCTCATTCTCTCCAGCTTTTTCTTGGCAGGCCTTTTTGCTCAAGCCTGAGCTGGGCACCTCATTTCTTTCCCCCTTTTCAAAAAGGTTCTGGTGCAGCAAAGAACAGAGAGAGGAGGCAGCGGGGTGCTCGTGAGCTTTAATGGGTCTGGAAAGGAATAGGAACACATCTGGCTGGGCCGTCGTGCGAGAGGGTGGGGGCGAGAGGGTGGGGGCGGGAGGAAGGGGGCTGGAGGCTACCTACATGTGTCATGGGAGCCAGTGGCCCTTAACCAAGCCAGCTGAGGTGCCGGGGAGAAGAAAGGGGACTGGGCAGGCCTCCACCATACCGGGATGGGGCAGCTCCGTGGGAGAGAGAAAAAATGAGAAAAGGTTTGGAATTCAAAAAAGTGGTGTCAAAATGGAGGGGGCTTCCAGGAGCCAGGCCAAAGTACAGGCGGAGGGGAGAAAAAGACAGGGCAGGTCCGGGACCCCCCTTCAGGGAGCTGGGGCCGAGAAGTAGATGGAGGTTAAAGAATAGGGTGGGGGGAGGCCACAGTCACTCACCCCCTCGCCTCCGGGGCTTAGGGGGTGACGCGGAGGAAATCCAGTGTTAAGGAAGATGGAATAGGCTTCTGGTCCCTCCCTTGGGGCTGGGCGCGGCGGGTGGAGTAAATCTGAGGTCAGAGGAACAGTGAGGGAGGCTCCGGGCGCCCTCCCCGGGACGGGGATGGGTTTGGACGACGCCCTGGCGTCTGGGGGAAGCCGCCCGGCACCCGGCCGCCCCGCCTAGTGGTAATGGCCCCCCAAGTGCGAGGCGGCGGCCACCGCGCCGAAGGGCCCGGGAGGGGGCTGCAAGCCGGGGCTGGGGTAGAGAGCAGCGGTGGCGGCGGCGGTGGCGGTGGCGGCGGGGCCCGGGCCCGGCCAGTAGGAGAAGCCGGCGGGCGCGACGCCGGCCGAGGCGGCCATGAGGTTGAGTTTGGAGAGGCCGGGGAAGGGCAGCGGGGCGAGGCCGGCCGGCAGCTTGTAGAGCGCACCGTCCTGGGCGGCAGCGGCGGCGGCGGCGGCAGCGGCGGCGGCGTGGGCGTGCGCGGGGGGCGGCTGGCAGGCCTGCGCCAGGCCCTGGAAGTCGAAGCGGTAGGCGTAGCGCTTGCCGTGCACCTTGCTCATGATGTTCTTATCGTAGTAGTAGCGCAGCGCGCGGCTCAGCTTGTCGTAGTTCATGTTGGGCTTGCTCTTGCGCTCGCCCCAGCGCCGCGCCACCTCGTCTGGGTCCGTGAGCTTGAACTCGCCGTGGCCGCCCTCCCACGCGATGCAGCCGGCGTTCGCGCGGTCCGCCAGCAGCTCCAGCAGAAACTGCCACAGCTGGATCTGCCCGCTGCCTGTGGGGAGGGGGGCGGTCAGCCACAGGCGGGATGAGGGGAGGCTGGAGGTGGGGAAAGAGGTGAGGTGGGAGACCCACCCAGCCCGGCGGCGGGAACCACAGGCGGGGGAGGGAAAGCACGCATCCAGGAGTGTAGCTGGGCGCACCTGGGGCGGCTGGCCAAGGCAAAGCTGTCTCTAGCCGTTACTGCGCTTTTGTACAATGGAAACACGGCTCCCATTTAGGAGGACACAACCCCACAGTTGCTTGGCTTTGTGAGACTTGTGGGCAGAGGGCGAAGCATTGCCTCCTCTGCCCGGCGGCAGCGGAGCACCAAAGCGCACGGCTCTCAGGGATGAGCAAGAGCTGGATATCAGCCCCTATTGCCACCGCGGCTGAGCGCCCTTATTCAGCACAGAGCCTGCACAACCCCACAGGGTAGCCTGGGCAGGCGGTTGGACCGCCACATGCCAGCTGGACCACATCCAGAGGTCCAGAGGAAAGAGGCAGGCATGCAGCAGGACCCCCAAAGGCATACAGCGGGACAGGCCCGCCTGAGGTGGAGAAGATGTAGTGACTGGCTTCTTTGCTGCACCACGTCAGACAGGGATGGGGACAGTGCCCCCCATGTGGAAGAGGAAGGGCAGCTTCTGAAGGCTCCCCACCTCTGCCACTGTCTGGTGCGCAGGGCACTGCGCTGGCGCTACTTGGGTTCGTTCTATTTTTTCGGAACAGGCGGGATTTCCAGCGCAGGAAAGTGTCATGCTTCCCTGGGGCGATGCACAGCTCTGAGCAGAGGAGATGAGATGGGGAAACGGCCGTGCTTGGCTCCCTGCCTCCTCCCATCTTGGGCTGATCTCCAGGTTCTTCTGCCCCATCTGGATTTCGGGGTTGCTGGAGGCGGCAAGGAGGTTTTCCTGGATATGCCGCTGGTGAGAGAGTGGGACACCCCAGAACTCCCGCTTCCCTGTCTTAGAGCCTCAATCAGACAAGTGGAGAAAAATCTTGATACAATTACCCACCCACTCCCTACTCTCTTTTAGAATAAAATGGTTTTTCCTCGAAGCTGTCTGATCATTGCTTCAAATCCGCCCTGGTGAACCTCTTTTCCTTTTTCACTCAGAACCCAGATGCTGCCCTCCACCATAATGGCAACCCCAATCCTTCCACACCAGCCCAGCGAGGAGCTGCCCGGCGGCAGGTTGGGAGCATTGAGTTTTAGCGTCAGAAGCAAGGGAAGGTTTGGGTAAAAATGTGCAGCTGGCACCGACTGGGAGCGACATCAGAGGCTTGGAGACCCATTCCTGTGGGGCCTCGTGGTCCCTTTTGGATAAAGCAGTTGATGACCTTGTTTTTACTGCTGCCATAACTTGGTGAGATCTAGGGTGCCGGCCGGGTATGGGGCTCTGGGGAGGCTTTGCTTGAAAGGCCAGCCAGGCTCCGTCACCAGCAAGGCAAAGCCAAGGGTAATTTAGCAACACTGAGAGCACCGGCGGTGAACCTGGGAAGCCACTGCAGTAGCTTGGCCAGCAGACTTGGCCCACAGAGCCCAGTGGGTGTGGGCCAGTGGGGCAGGAAGCTGCTGGCCCCGGAGCTAGTGGTGACAGTGCTTGGAGTGGCCAGGGAGTAATTATCCAGGTCCCCTTTCTTGACGGTGCCACAGCCTTGCACTCCTGCTGCCAGCAGAGAAAGGAAGCCAGGCATCTCAGCCCCGGCCCCACAGCGGGGAAAACCATTTGCACCCGAAAAGGGCCGCAGCAATGATCCTCTCCATCCGCCCAGGCCTGCAAGTCCAGCCCTGGGATTCAGAAGATGCAGGAGCCAAAGGCCAGGTGAATGTCCCTCCCGGCCAGTCTCCCAAGAATCATGCCCTACCCGCCGCTTCCCAGAGCCGGGGTGCACATCGCTTCCACCCTCTGTCCGGGCGGTGGTGGTGCCCGTCATTTTGGGGTGGGTGCCCTGGCCCCCTGTCCACTGTCCTCGCCCCCACCCCTAGTCCTCGGGCCAGCTCACCTTTTTGTACCGCGGGGCTCAGCGGCCCCCACCCGGGGCTCTTCCCTTCCTTGAAGAGACCATCTCCGACGGGATCTGTGACGGCAGGGGAAAACAGTCAGGCGGACCCGGGCGGAGATTGTGGCCTTGACGGAAAGGGCCCCCAGCCAAGGCTCGACGCGGGTGCCTTGGTCCCCGAGCGTGAGGCTGGGAGCCCGAGCCGCCCAGCTCCTCCTCTTGGAGCCTGGGCCGGGCGCGCGCCGCGCGGAGCCCCTCCATAACGCCTAAGTCAGGAAACGCGTCCAGGAAAAAGGAAATCCGCTTTCCGAACGGGCCGGCGGGAGCCTTATAAAGCCGAGCCGGTATTGCGCCAGCCGAGCGGGAGCGCGCGGAGCCCATCGGAGAGGAGACGATAGGAGGGTGCCTGGAGGGCTGGGCCGGTGGGAACACTCGGAACACGGAGGTGAGGAGCCACGAGGGCGCAGGGGCGACGCCCGGCGGACCACAGCCTCCCAACGTTGCAGGCGCACTGAATGCCCTGCCACTCAGAACACCCCTGCTCCCCTACCACGCTCTTTTGGCCCCTCAGCCGGCGCTCTCGGCCTCCCAATCTGCTCACTTCGAGTCCTCCAGACCCCACACTAAAACCCCAAAGCTCTCCCTCTGCCTTTAAGGTCCCTTAATGCCCTAAACTGCTCAGTCTTCCCAGCAATTCGAGTCTCTGGACCGCACCTCCTTTCCTTAGACCCCAACATCCCCTTCCCACGCCTGAGCCCAGACTTCCCGCCCCGGGTCCTGCTGCCTCCAGCCCCCGGCTGGTCCCTGGTACCTGGCAGGTACATGTTGATCAGCAGGGGCTGGGAGGCGCCGCTCTGTCTCATCGCAGCCAGGGACTGGGCGGTGGGAGGTGGGGGGGGGGTGATGAGAGAGGGGGGACGCGTCAGGCTTTGCGCTCCGGGGCACCGATCCCCGCCCCAGGCGACTGCGGGTGACAGGGAGAAGAAGACGGCGCCGGTCCGGTAGGGCCTGGCGGGAGGGGGCAGCCCGGGTGTGGCGGGGGATGGAGGGGGTCCTGAAGCGATGCTCCCAGCGACCGTGCTGCTTGGAACCCTCCGGCCCCCAGCGCGGGCAGGGGCCGCAATTTCCGTTTTAATTAAAGCGCTGCCGCCTCGGCCCCCCGGACCCCGCCCCAGTCCCTCTTATCGCCCCATCGCAATAAAGTCTCCGACGAGCAGCGCAGCAGCCAAGCGCACCCGGCAGCCCCCCGCGCCCCGCAGCCCGGGAGACGCGCGGGGGATGGGCCTGGGCCTCGCTCTCTGATACCGGTCGGGAGTGCGTTTCTTTTCCGCCTTCCTGACTCTCAGCAAACAGCGACCGGGCGGGGTACCCGGCCCCACCTCAGACCCCCGGGGCTACAGCCCCCTCCTTCCCGCCCCTTCTCGCTCCCCTCACCGCTCTGCTCTCCTCCCCCTTCTCCCCCCACCTCCAACCGGGTTCCCGTCTCCAGGCTGCGTTATCTGCATCTTCACTTTTAAATTTCCGCTTCCCTCCCTCTCGCCCGTCTCTGCGCTCCGGCCGGGCAGCCGTTGCTCCCTTTATCTCCGCCCGGCCTCGCTTTCTCCCTCCTCCTCTCCCACTCTCCGCTTTTCCCTGGAGACACGATCTCCTTCCCTGTCTCCCCACAACTTCTAGTGGGTTGCCCCTCTTTTCCTTTCTAGATCTCTGCTTCTTCCATCCAGTCTCAGCTATTCCGACGTCCTCTCCTGTCTCCTCTCTCCTCTGTTCTACTTGGCTTCTTCCCTTCCTTTTCTCATTCCTTTGTTCCCCACTAATTTGTGGCATATTCCTTTCCACTCCCCCCGCCCCACCCAGGCCCCGCATCTATTGCTCTCCTTCTTTCCCCATCCCCTGTCATCCCAGCCTACTACCCACCATCACAACTTCCCACCCTGAGTGGCCTTTAACCAGGCTGCAATTGGCACCTTGCTCCAGCAGGAGTAGAAGGGTTAAAACACAAATGTGTACTGTCCAAAGCCCCCAACCCAGGGAGAGTGGAGGCTGAAATCCACTCTGAAAAAGGGGCAAAGATGCTGACTGTGTTATTAGCAATAACACAGTGGTTCCCAGGTGGCCTGGAGTCTCTGGGTACCTGTAGGGCTTCCTGGTTCTGGAGAGGCCGGCTAAGGAGGGATGCTAGCTGAAGATGAGGCTCTGAGCCTGCAGCCCACCTGCAACCATGCAGCACCAGGTGGCTACTGTCAGAATTGGTCATTTCAAGGCCTTTCTGTCCCACTGCTTCAGCCCAGGAGGTGAGGAGGCCTGGGACTCCAGGCACACGCATTGGAGTGGGCAGGTTTCCTGTACGACCCTGGTCCTGGGGGGGGGGGCCTGACTGAAGATGTTTGGAAAGTCCAACTGTGGGCCTTCTGCAGGGCCCAGGTTCATTCCTTACTTGCTGTAACTACTGGAGAGTTTGTCCTTGCTGGTGAAGCCAAGGAGGAGTGTAGGAGGCAGGGTCTAGGGGGAAATAGGGGATCCCAGGACCCCAGAAGATCCTAAAGGGACAGGGATGCAGGCTTCAAGATGACATGGAATCTGGTGGGAGCAAAGATAAGAGGTTAGGATGCTCCCTGGGGACCAAACTCAGGGTTTCCCATGAGGGGAGGTCCCTGAGGGTGGGGCCAAGGTTCCAATCCCTCTCCTTTGTGCCTTCTTATCGCTTTCCCAGACAGAGAAAGAGGAGCACAATGTAAGAGCTGTGAGCATGGGGAGGCAGCGAGGTGCACCCACTTAATGCTCTCAGTGGAAGGCTGATGCAGAAGAAGGGAGAGGCGCTCAGAGTGCAGAATCCATCCAACATCCCAGCTCTGAACAGGCGAAGGATCAACAGCTCTGTGCCCCCACCTCCCTGAGGACTCAGGTGCTGAAGGGGTGGGTGGGTTCCAGGAAGAGTTTGTGGTGGGGGTGAGGAGTGTCCCCTCAACCCTATCTGGATCTTGGCTGTGCCAGAAATGAGACGACCTCCTCCATGCCCTTTGGCTTTTGGCTGAGTGCAGCCAACGGGAGAGTCCCGGGCAGCTTTGCCTCCATCCTCCCCCTACCTGGGTGGATGCAAGTCCTATAGGGTCCTGCAGACCATCAGCCTGCCAGGAATAGGAAGAGGATGGGAAGGTGAAAATACCAGGCCCAGCCTGGCGTCTGTGTCTCCACTCCTTAGTCGCCAGGGTGGGGAGTAGAATCCAACTTCCTAGACTGGAAAAACCTAGAAGGTTCATGCTGGCAAAAGCTGCAGTAAATATGAGCTCCCTCAACCCCTCTGTTGTACAGGTGGGGACACTGAGACCTTGAGATGGGGAGTCCCTGTTCAGGGTCACACTGCCAGCTCCTGAAGTCAACTTGCTGACTCTTCTAGGCAGCCACGGATCCTTCTGGAGGGAGGGCAGCTCAGCCAAACACAGCAGACACCACGTTTCTCTTTGCCCATTGCCCACCCGCCAGAGCAGGCAGTGGGGAGATGGGCTGCTGGACTCTGAGGTTAGTTTTTCTTGGTTCTGGGTTCAACTCCGGCACCCCCATTTCCTAGTTGTGTGACCTTGGGAGAAGTTACATAACTTCTGTACATTATCTTTTCATCTATAAAATTGGGATTATGGTACCTACCATACAGAATTATAAGCCTTACATAAGGTGTTCTGAGTGCTCAGACAAGGCTCTGTGCCTTTAGCTATTGCTACTATTATCCCCCAAAGGGACAGTTAGGAGTCTGTGAGCAGGCAGGAACCCCAGACGCCTCTGGAGCCCACAATGGTTTGGGGCTCTGCTGAGGCCTGAGGCTTTTAGCCACAGCTTGGGTCAGCCTCCACTTAACAGCCTGGATTTGGGGTCAGGAGCCCCATGTTCAAGTCCTGGCTTTGTCACAAATTAAGTGTATGACCTCATCAAGGCTTCTCCTTCTCAGAGGAGCCCCAGTTTCTTCATTGACGAAAGGGCTGAAGTATGAAGATGTTAGGGAGATCAAATGCAACAGGGGCCATGGGCTCTCAAACTCATCCAGGTATAGAATAGAATTCACTTCCCACCTAGAGCTCTGTCCCTTGGTCCCCCAACCCAACCTCGGGATCCGCGGGAAGAGGCTGGGGAAGGAGGGCCCTAGGTTGACAGCCCCAGTGCTTTTCCATGACACCATGAGCATTTTCAGGGGTTTCTCATTGAATCCTCACAACAATCCTGTGAGATAGACAAGGCAGGGATCAGTAGCCCCAGTTTACAAGCAAGGGAATTGAGGCTCAGGGTGCTGTGTGATTGGGTCCCAGGTTCTCTGACTTCTGATCCAGGGCTCTTCCCAAGGGAGCAGCTGCCTGACTTTGCACAACTGGGCCCCTGGGGACTGTCCAGGTCCAAGTCCAACTGTTCTCCAACATGGTCCTGCCTCCCCTGTGCTGGGGCGATGATCTGGGCCATCTCTCCCCATTGATAGGTCCACTGGGGGCTTGAAAACATAAACATCCCTGAGGGACAGGATGAAGGGACTCCAGGGCCTTGGAAGCCATGCCTATGTAGGAATGAGGGTATCATTAACTGGGCCAAAGAAAGAACTGGGAAGAAACTACACTGGTGCCAGGGGCTCTGTTGGCTGTTACCACTCAGCCCTGCCACGGCTGTGGGCTTCTGCCACCTGCCCCAGAACCCAGGCTCACTGTGGTCAGTGGCTGAGTGGTAACTCTCCAGCTCACTAATCCTCTGAAGACTAGGGAAGGAGAGGAAGACTGAAGAGGAGGTTGTTTTGAACAGCTGAGAGGAGGGGTATGAAAATGCTTTGCAAAAGCTGGAGCTCGAGACTGTGTAAAGGATTGTTATAGTTCAGCCAAAAGGTCTGGAGCCTTGGCTCAGAGACAGGAAAGGTACTGGTCTTCCCCCTCAGAGGGCCCTGGGAGGCAGAGGGACCTTGCACTAATTCCTCCTCTCACACCATTGCTCCTCTTCAAGGCAGAAATTCTATAAAGCTGGGAAAGGGGCACAGACTTCCCAGGGCTGGATAGAGAACCAGGGGGAAGATAAAGGCTGGAAATGCCCTGGGGGTGAGAGAGGAACCCAGGAGAGCTCCAGCATAGAGTTAAGAAGGCTCTGCCCAGCTGTGCCTGGCCCTGGGGGGGGGGGGGGAGGGTGGGTGCAGAGTTTGAAGTTCAGCTATAAGCCTGCTGTGTGGCTGTGTGCACCCCAACTAGAGGATGGCAAAGCTGCCATCTGGGCTGGCAGTACCCCTGCCCCAAGCTGATGGGCTTTTACCAAGGAGAGGGCTGAAACTGGTTCTATTTAACAGGATCCTGGAGACATTTTTCTCTCTTTTTTTTTTCGTAATTTTTTTTTTTTTTTTAGGAAGATCAGCCCTGAGCTAACATCTGCTGCCAATCCTCCTCCTCTTGCTGAGGAAGACTGGCCCTGAGCTAAGATCCGTGCCCAACTTCCTCTATTTTATATGTGGGATGGCTGCCACAGCATGGCTTGATGAGCGAGGTGTAGGTCCGTTCCCAGGATCCCAACCAGTGAACCCCACACCGCCAAAGTGGAGTGCACGAACCTAACTGCTACACCATCCACAAGCCAGCCCGATCTCTGAGATTCTTACCAGCAGTTTCCTCTGAGCTCCATCAGAGTCTAACTACGTACATCCTAAGCCAGTTTATGCTCCATAGTCAAAGGTCCTGGAGCCTGAGGGGAGGATCAGATTGGCAGGGAGGGACCCTCAGAAGTATGAGGATAGAGATCACAAAGCAAGACACCAAGCAGGCAAGAGGGGCAGGCAGATTCAGGAGCCTTTATTGAGGGTCCTCTGGGGAGGTGCTGGGGCCGCGGAACTTAGTGCTGGACTCTCCGAATGGACTGCAACTGCCCGGTGTGGGCCTGAGTGCCGAATTCGCTGTAGGTACGGAATTCCCCACTGCGCCGGTCCCGCTCCAATACATACTGGTAGCCCCGGTAGCCTGGGTACTGGTAGGCCACCCACCTAAGCCAGTGAAGGCACAGGGTGGTAAGTAGGCTCTGCCCCACTCCCACCTTTGTCCTCCATTAGTAGTTCTCTTTTCTCAGCTCCCCCCTCTGCCCCAAACCACTGCTTCAGTTTTCCCCATGTGGATCTCTCCCTGCCCTGCCCACTGCTCCAGGTCTTCCAAATCTCTCTTTAACATGTCTCTTAGCACCCCCATGACCTTTCCCCTCCGTCCTCCCTGGTCCCCATTTCCTTCTTGCTCTTCTCATTTCCCTTCTTCCAGCCCCAGGACTCACGCTCCAGAGCTGACTTTGATGGAACCCACATCCTTGCTGGCCCAGCCCATGGAGGGCAGGGATGGGTAGTCATCAGTGAGTTCAAACTTGGAACCCTGGAAGTTGTCCGCCTCAAACAGTGTCACGTGGCTGTCACCGTGGTTCTGAGGCATAGGCAGGTGGGGATGGACAGATCAGGCCCTCCAAAGAGATGTTGATACATTCTCAGCCCCACTCCCCAAATCCCACTGCCCCACTCCAGCTGTGCAGACATTTAAGCTCCAAAAGCACTCTCAGGGTTCACTCCTTCAGCTCCATCAGTCTGGGGAGTTGAAATGCTCAGAGGTCCCCAGCCTGGTCCCTGGCTTTTGGTTGGAGGGGTGAGAGTCGGGGATTCCCAGAGATCCTTCCAAGGTCAGGGCTAGAGGGTATCTGGTAACATGGACCTGTTTTGCAGGAGGAAGATTCGAGGTCCTGAGAGAAATCTGGTCCATTCACCAAGGCAGTTTCTCTAAGGGCCTCATTGACGACCCACTCCCCTGCCCCGCACCCTGGGCACAGCCTCTCACAGGGTAGGGCCTAGCCAAGGGATGCTGGATGGCAGAGTCAGAACAGATGGGTCAGGTCATCAGTATTGGTTGGGTCCAGGCTTCCATAGTTCTAGGGCCTTCCCCCTGCAGGGCTCCTGGAGGGAATGGAGAAGCTGGGCCCAGTCAGCACCTACTCTCTGGACTCTGCTCCCTAGGCCCAGGCCTCACCAGTACGGTATCCAAGCCAGCACAAATGGGAAGTGAGGTCCTCCCCTCCAGTGTATTTGATTCATTACCAGTCGTTTCCCCACCACACACACACACAATGACTGACCCTCTTCTCATCTTCATGTTAACCCTTGTGACCTGGGACAAGTCACTTTGCCCCTCTGAGCCCCATTTCCACACCTGTGTATGGGGCTACCAGCAGCCACCCCGACCTCACAGGGCTGTGTGATGACAGTGGCGCTCGCTCATGCGTGTGGACAACTGGACGTGAGGAACAGATGGTGCTCAGGCCTGGCGTGGTCTTGGCGCTGTCCGTGGTGCTGATTCCCCCCGCCTGGCTCACGCCCACATTCCACACTTTCCGAGACCCTTCTGGTTCTGGGAAGTAATGCCATTACCACCCATCGAGGAATTGTGTCTACACAGTGGGTGAACGGCCTTCCCCGGGGCGCCATGGCGGGGCCAGGGTCTGGAGCTAAGAGCTGGGAGGCAGAGGGGGAGGAGGAGGGCTGTGCTCACCGTGCAGAGCACTGGCCGGAAGGACAGCAGCTGGTCGCTGTGGTGGCCGCCGCTGCCACTCCAGGCGCTCCAGCGAGGATAGTCGCCTTTCTCCAGAATGAACTGCTGTCCCTGGAAGTCTGGGTACTCAAAGGCCACCCAACTGGGGAAAGACAAGGGGCCCTGGGGAGGCATCTGCTTCAGCCTCATTCCTTCCTCTCTCTCCCCCTTGCTTGCTGTGATTGGAAAAACTGAGAAATTGGTCTTTTTCTCCAACGCCAGGCCCCTCTCTTGATGTACCCACTGCATGACAATCAAGCTCCTCCAGAGGCTAAAGACCCTAAACTGGCTGCTATCCGGAGTTTGAGGGGCCGAGGCTTCCAGCTCAGGGCCCCCAGGTTGGATAGAATTTCTCAGGTAATGAAGATCATCCCACTAAGCGCTCCTACCTCAAGGATTTAGGTGCCTGCAAAGGCATATGCAGCAGCCTTCTAGCCTGCAGTAGCAACTTGCAATGGCTCGGCGGCCTCAGCTCTCCCGAGGGCCCTGGGCTCTAGGAGACCAGGATGGGAGAACGGAAGGGACTTGGCTTCTTTTGCTAAACGAGGCGCAGAGCTATCTAATTTTGCACAGAGAAAAACTTGGGGAGGACAAAACTACACTGGGAACCCCTTCGGAGTTCAAGCTGGCTCCACAGGGGACTCGCAAAGGATCGCCCCTCATCTTTATCTCTTTAGCTCACATGAGGATACATTCTTTCCCATGATTTGTCTTGCGGCGTCTGGGGACTTCGGGGGAGACCAAGGGCTTTTCCGTGTTGGTGGCTCTCTCACAGGGCTTACACTCTGGGGAACGGAGAGCTGGGAGCTGAGGTCCCAGGCTAGGAGCTTGGGCCAGGGGAGCCCGGCACCCCCCAACCAGCCCAGCTTCGCTGGGGCGATCACTCACGCGCCGCTTTCGACCTTGACCGAGCGCACCCTGCGCAGGCCTCCGCGCTCGCCGATGTTCGCGCAGTCACTCAGCAGCCGGCAGCGGCGGCCCTGGAAGTCCTCCTCGTCCCAGAGCGTGAGGCAGGCGGGCGCGGGGCCCGGCGCGGGGGCGCTGCTCATGCCGCTGCTGGCGAGAAAGACCGGACGAAGTGCTCAGCGTCTAGGGAGCCCCCTCGCCGGCCCAGGCCCGCCCAACGCGGGTCGGGGGTAAAGAACGCTGGACCCGGGCAGGCTTGGACTTGGGCTGCTAGAGGCTCCCCTTCATCTCACCCTCCTCCGCCCCGAAAAGACCCCTCCCAAGCACTGCGTATTCACCAGGTGGGTGAGCGCGGTACAGAAGGAAAATGGAGAGGCTGCGCGCGGGCCAGGCGTGCGGGCCTTTATACCAGGCCTCGCCCCTCTCCCCGCACCCTCTTCCGCTGGGGTGGGGGGAGCTGAGTCAGCGGGCTGGCTGCGGTCAGCTCTGGTGTCCCCTGGGGAGCCAGAGGCCTTTCCCGCAGCCGCCGATCTGGCCCCAGCCCTCGGGGATTACAATGGAAAGTGCTGAGGCACACGTCCCACGCCTGCCGCAGCCAAGGCTGACTCCGCTTTTTCTCTTTTAGGGGCCTGACCCAGGAAAGGCGCACCCGACCTCGGGACAGAAAGCGCTCTCCCTGGCCCAGACCCTCAGGGACGGAGGTTTAAGGTCACTCTGGGGCCTAAGACAGCGCATTCCCAGCTCGAGGCGCGCAAGTTCTTTCCAGCGTCTAAACACCTCTCCTTCAGCCCTAGGTCGGTCGAGGGGGAGACGCTAGAGCGGAGGTAGACAAGGCTCTTCGCAGGCCACTTTCCTCAAGCCCCTCAGTCCTCTTCTCCTGGAGGATCGGTCCATCGCAGCCCCGTTCCTCACAAGTTTGAGTTCCCAGACCCTGCGCTGCGCTCCCGGAGTTTCCGTCGTGGAGGGGCCGGGAGGAAGCGAGGACCAGGACTTCCCGCAAGGCGGCGCTGAGCGCAGGAAACCTGAACCGCCCCAGGCAGAGCGCGGGTTTACAAATCGTTTAGGAATAATAGTAACAAAGGGAGTGGCTCCCCACCGTGGCGAGGGAGACCATTTCAACCCGAGCGCGGCCGGGCCGGAACGCGGCGCTGCCAACCGCCAGACAGAGCTCCAGGGTCTGGGGGCCTCGGTCCCGACGTCTGCTGAGAGCCGGCGGCTGATTACTGAGCGCCTTGAAGTTCAGGCCAGGCGCTCTGCTCAGAGCTTCTACGTGCGTGCGCTCGGCTCATTCTCGCCCCCAGCCGATGAGGCAGGCGCCGCAACTGCCTTACATTTCACAGATGCGGCGACCCAGAAGCGTTCCGGAACGTTGGCGAGGAGGTGTCACAGCTGAGAAGTGGCCCAACTGAGATGTGAACCTGGGCTTCTGTTTTGACTGAAGGTCCTAGGCTCCTGTTCCCAATCCCAGTGCT